GTAGTAACAAGAAGCTATTAGGAACAAGTGCCTTACTAGTAGTAACAGGTGCGTTTACCTCGCTATTAGGTTGGAGGCCATCGCTCCTAGTTTACCTCTTCAAAAGCTTTCATCTGAGCAAGTGCCAAACTGGGAGCAGAGCACTTCGAAGGCTGGGAGGGTGAAGCCTTCATTCCTCTTCGAAGGCCTTCATCCAAAATATAGAATTCTAATTCTATAGAATTCGTGTGTCTGAGTAGTAAGGCCAGGAGCCCCTGGTAGCGTCCTTGCTCCTAGTAGTAAGGCCAGGAGCCCCTGGTAGCGTCTTTGCTCCTAGTAGTAAGGCCAGGAGCCCCTGGTAGCGTCCTTGCTCCTAGTAGTAAGGCCAGGAGCCCCGTTCGTAGCGTCCTTGCTCCTAGTAGCGATGCCCTTTGCTCCTAGTAGCGTCCTTGCTCCTACCAAACAAGACGCAGGATGCGACCACTCCTCCATTCTCGGAATGTTGATTCCACTCTTTGTTGGATGCGACCTAAGAACCGGGGCTCAAAACGAACAAATCAAAGGACACCGCGGACGAACACCAAAGGAAGGAAGAAACGCAAGGAACGCAAGCCTTCGAAAAGAGAGCCAAACAAGCCCCCCCACTGGGCGGGCACGTTGCATCCCAACCTCACCAAGCAAGGCAGGATCGCGAGCAAAATCGAAGAGCGATGCCTTCGATGCCTTCAAAGTGTGCTTCGAGTGCATCAGGTTGTGCTTTGCCTCCAGGTGCTTCAAGCGGTTCCTTGGAAGGTTGCTGAAAAGAAGAAGCGCAGGCTGCAAGTGTCCTTCTGAGTATCCAAAGACCCTTTCAACCAGACTCCTTCGAAAACGTGTCATCTGTCTCGTTCGAAAACTGTGCCAAGTGCTGGAAGCTGACCATGGCGGGGATCCCGCTGGGTAGGCTAAGTCTGGTCAGAAAAAGGCGGTTACGCTTTTAGGGAGGCCATCGCCAGTAGGTTGGAGGCCATCACTCTTAGGTACCTTTGAAGCATGTTGTTTTTAGTCTCTTGAAACGTTTGTCGATACCAAGAGACAAGTTCTCACGGCTGATGCTCTACTGGTTCTGAGAACAAATCTTAAGCAAAACCAAAGTACGGATGTTTGACACAAGAAAAGTCCGCCCTGCCTAGGGTTTTGCTCTCCAGCTGCAGCTTGCCACCTTGCGCAATCAGCCAAAGATATCCAAGTTTATATCTTCAGGCCCGACCGAACCGTGTCGTCAAGAACGTCCCGAATTGCATGGAGCGTCTTTGGTGCAAATAGCACAACTATCCCTTGCACTGAACGCTGCTGTTTTTTGCCCCTGGTTGCTCTATTGTTTAAAGTAATTGTTTCCTTCTTTCAGCCCTTAGGTCTTGGACTCCAACAACTCCTTACTCTGAACAATAGACAAGTATGAAGGAGTACGAAGGCCTTCTTGCTTTGATGATGTAACGAAAGTCCTTGTTTGTTCGCAACCGGCCCCCAAGCGTTTGTATGATCGCTATGGCCGCTATGGACCGAAGCTGTTGGGGGTTCTGATGGACGGATGGACGTGTCATTCGAGCGTGGAAAGCTTGACTTTCCACCAATGACATCACTTAGCAGCGATGCACTTGTTACTACTAGCTTCTTGTTACTACTAGTAAGGCAC